ATGTAATTATGTAAGAATGTTAACACTGTTATATTTTTTTAGTATATTACTTGTGTGGTGTAGAAGAGAATTATTTATGTAGAGATACTGCTTGCAAACCAATGATGTAAGATGATGTCATGGGGTAGGACTGGATAAGTCTGACTTCTTCCTACTCCATTCAAGCATGTATTAGGTATAAGCAAATTGATATTGGATTAGCATTTGTTGGATATGTGTAAAATTATGTGTGTTGACATATCAACTGTCTTTACATGCTTGAAAGAATAAATCAAATCAAAATCAAAATCAAAGGTTGTTAAATAAGTTAATCTTTATGCCAAAACATTACGTCGTTGCAATCACCATTAGCAATAATTTAGCCTGTGTTGTAAAGCGATATAAATCTGCTTCACTAACAGATGTAACCTATTTCGGTGATGGAAATGACATTAAATTACATAACTGTTTCTATAAAAATTCCATAAATGATGATAGCAAAGTTAAAATAAAAAACTAACTTAAATACAGAATTCGCAAAGAAATATAATGTAAATATGTGGGGAAAATGTGTAAAAAAAAAACAGGAAAAAAAAAGGAGCCTGCTACCTACAAATATAAAACGGACTTCACCTCGGTCACGTGACCGTTGTGTTTCCGTGTCAGGAAGTGTGAATCATGACATCACATACAAACGAACGAGAATAGAAACTGACACTGTTTGGTAAGACTGGCACAGGAAAGGTTACCATTTCTTCACGAATATAGTCACTGGATTGCCATTCTGCCAAACTTAATAACGGTAACAATTAACGTTAGGTTTAAGTCTGAACTAATCTGTGAGGACTATTTGAAGCGTTAGTATTTATGCTGCTTGTGTTATGATAATTGTTATGGTAATTATGCTCATTAAATGGGATCATTTAATATCCTATAAATTATGTAACGTAACTAGTAAATTGTTCTTTATGTTCAATCGCAGCAAGTTTGGGATTCAAGATGCACCCATCCTCCTGTGACACCTTTGTGGCTCTGCCCCCCTCCACCGAGGGGCAACGCATTATCTTTGGGAAAAACTCTGACAGACCTTGTGATGAAGTCCAGGAAGTGGTGTATTTTCCTGCCAGAAACTATGATGCAGGGGAGAAGCTTGAGGTAGGTGACACACACATCTTATTATTGCTCTGAAACCTTCAGTGTCCCACATTGTGTCTGCTTCTTGGTGAACATGCTGTGTCTGCTTTGTCTTGTGAAAAGTGTACATATATAGAGATTGAGCAGGTTGCCCACACATATGCAGTTGTGTTGAGCAAACCAGCATGGCTGTGGGGGGCAGAGATGGGTGCAAATGAGCATCAAGTGTGTATTGGAAATGAAGCGGTGTGGGGCAGAGAGAGTGCAGATGGAGACGAGGCCCTTCTTGGCATGGATCTTGTCAGGTAAACCCCACATAAAAGTAGTTGCCTATATTTCCAAGTATCTGTTACTCACCAAATTATGTTCATCTTGAGGTGCAACGGGAAATTTAAATACATAGTACCAGTGAGAAAAAATATACCTTTTTCTTCAGCTGGCTTTTATCAATTCAGAATAAATTTGTGAGAAAAAAAAAGGAATCTATGACTCTACAACTTCACAGGCTTGGACTTGAGAGGGCCGACACAGCTGAGAAAGCTGTCAATGTTATTACTGGGCTGCTGGAGAAATATGGTCAGGGAGGATCTTGCACGGAGGATGAGTGCTACTTCACCTACCACAACAGCTTCCTGATCTCAGACAGGAAGGAGGCATGGCTGCTGGACACGTCAGGGAAGTACTGGGCAGCAGAGAGAGTGGAAAGTAAGAAAGACCCACTGAAAATAGACCCCTATTATGCAGGGCAGTGGGATTAGTTCACATTGTTTAGCCTGCTGAAGTTTCAATCATAAGTGAAAACCACCAATAGAAAAATAAGACAAGGCAACTTTTATTCATATAGCACATTTCATACACAGACGCAATTCAAAGTGCTGTACAGAGGCAAGGAAAACCAGTAACAGCATTAATAACAATAAGCAATAAACCCAGAATAAAATCAGTTAAGACAAAGTGGAGATAAAACATTATTAAAATAAGGTAAAATAAATATAAAATCAAAATAAGAACAAAAAGACAAAATAAAAGGTCTGAAACAGAAATCTAGCAGTTACAGTGCAGAAAATACAGCATAGAAACCAGTCAAAAAGGAAGGAGCTATTCATTGTAGAAAAATTCAAAATTAAATCTGCGTATTATGCATATATTACTTTATCACAGATACACTGGTATCTGTGTATACATCAGCCATTAAACCACAAGAAACTGCAGTACAAAATGCAAACACATGCTTGATAGTTTCATGATTTGACCACTAGAGGGGACTCGCACACTTATTTTTTTAACTATAAAATGTCCCACCTAATACATGAGTTAAAACCATTTAATAAGGAAATTTATGGGTTTGTAGACTCTCAAATATCAATGTTTATTTGCCTCAAAACACATTATCTGTTGGATACAATCCAGAATAGCTGCCAGTCCAAGCCTTTTGATATGTTCACTGTACACTGGTACAGAGCAGCATGATTTCATTTTAATGGCTAATCATCACCAATGACTTTGCTCTAGGTGGATATCGCAACATCTCTAACCAGTATGGCATAACAACTAAGATAGACAGGGAACATCCAGAAATGCGGGGATACGCACAAAGCAAGGGCTGGTGGGATGGAACATCTCAGTTCAACTTCGCCACAGTCTATTCCTTTACAACTACAGCCAGAATAGAGGCCGCTGGGAGCCGATACTATGAGGGGAAGAAGATGTTGGAAAAGAACAACGGTCAGTTAATGTGTACTTCACTGAAATTCTGGGATTGGATCAGGAAAAATATTATGAAGTCCACCACAGTTTATGCATGTGTGAATCTTACTTAAGGCCACATCACTGCTGAGACAATGATGGATATCCTGAGGGATAAAGATAGCAGCATCAACATGGAGGGAATGTTCATGACTACAGGAAGTATGGTGTCTGTAATACCCACGAATCCTGCTCTGCCAGGGGTTCACTACTTTACAGCAACTCCAGACCCTGAAAGGTAAAGAACTTGATCTCCCTTCAGTGAGTAAAGCATGTTTAAAATTTGTTTTTACTGCAGTTAATGACTGATTCTTTTGCATAACAGGTCTGTATTCAAACCGTTCGTCTTTGTGAAACACATCAATCAGCTGAAGGAGACGACTTCTCCCAGTTATGGTCCAGATGACCCTGTAAAGAAGAAACCTCGCTTCCAGAGCAAGCCGAACCGCAAACATGAGTTGTTTGTGAAACATGAAGTGGTGGAGGCCATCATCGACACCCACAAGGTTTAACAATTTAACGTGAACCTCTCGTTTACCTACATTTGTCCTTTGGCTTAGTGTTATTTGCTTTTCTGTCAACAGGACAGAGGGAAGAAGATCATAGAAAGCATGAGGCAGGCAGAAAAGGAGAAGATGTCAGAGATGGAGGAGATTCTCTTACATGGTGTTGAGGAACCAGACTTTTTGGTAAATCTATTCTCAAAGTCTGTTAAGGCTGAAATGGCTGCGTACAGCAAAAGCTGAGAGGCTTGTTGGAACCACAACACAGAACTCCATGGCATCAGTAGCAATTTCTCTAGTGCAAGTATAAACATGCTTCTGTAATAAGTCAGAACATAACTTATCATTATTAAAATTATTTTATAAAAGAACACTCAGGCTGTAAAGTGGATGGACTAAATATTCACTTTTCATTTATGTGAAAAATTCTTGACCAGAAATACAAGACTTTGTGATGCATTATGAGGGTTCATTTGTAAAATTTATTTTAAAATAAATCAAGCTCATAAATAGCAGCCTTTGACACAAATTGTATTATTTTTGAGAAGACAATATGGGTTGAGTTAATATAACAAATCTTTGCACTTAATATAACAAATCTTTGCACTTAAAGCAAAAAAAAAAAAGTTTATTATCATATACCTGAGAGAAATTTAGAATTACAGCAGTGTCCAACTTTAATAAGGTTTTCCAAGTTCACAGTTTGTGGAGGAGTGAATGAGGATACTTGCTTTCTCAAAGTCAACCTGAACACGGTCAGCATGCACATGCGTTTTTTAATATGTTTGCACTGATCAGTTGTGGCATGTGTAATTTCGTTGTACTTATGTATAATGACAATAAAGTATTCATTCATTCATTCAAATACTCCGTCTTGACACTTCTTTAGTTATTCAGTACTACCGCATTATGTTCATCACTCAAAAATCAGTTTGCTTCTGTTGTTGTTGTTAAAGCAGTTATAAAAAGGAAATATGAATACATTTTTTTCCCCAAGCAGACGGGTTGTTTGTTGAAATGGTGCTCTGGGATACTGCTCACATACAGTCGTCCTGGTAAACAGTGTGATCACTGTTCTCCATTAGTGTTGACATATTAAACTGTAGTCAAATAAAGCAATAACACACATTTCATACAACATTACCAGTCATTTAACTTGTTAAACTAAGTTAATCATAAGTTAAGCTGACTACAAACAAACTAAGCAGAGATTTATCCACAGCTTCCCTTTGGTGAGTGACTTTCATACAAGAATGAAAATACAAACTGAGGTAAAACTCAGTACAAGATATAATGTGGCTGACCAGCAGGTTTAGCCTGCACGTCTTTGTGGATTAACACTCACAGTGATATAAATTAAAACTACTGTACTGAAAGTTCAGGTGCAAGTGACTGAATAAACAATTACACTAACAAAAAAAAATCTTAAAAAGCAGCAAAGTCTTGTTTTGGCTCTAAACATTTGCAATACCTGTTGGTTCAGTTATTGTTTACAGTGAATATTAAACAAACTGCCTATTTTGTAGTTTTGGCTGTCACTCCTATCAGTTATGTTTTACTCAACTGCAGCTGCACTGCAGATGAAAGGTTGCAGCAACATCATCAGAAAAGTCATAGCAAGGAACCAGGACAGAATCAAACTGTCAGGAGAAACAGCGGCCACAGTGCACATTGCCCTGGCTTTTTAAAGTTTCAAAGTCTGTCAGTTTCAACTGTACACACCCAACATCACAGTCAGGTGTGGTCTGTTCCAACAGCTGACTGTGTTGTGTGGTACAATAGTGCATAGTAAAATGTTGGCATGCACTGTACAGGCTGTAGGCAAAGCAGCCTGTTGGTACTCTTTAAACATCAGTGTTGTCTCTCCTGTTACTCAAACACAGCATTTTTTTTTAACATACACCAGTGTTGACCTATTTGTCTTATGTCATGAAGCGGTAATAAAGAGGACTGTCTTGGAAGTCGTATTCCTGTTTGATGTGCTGGAGGACACCACCCTGCTGTAACCGCATCCCATAGAGCACTGCCTCTCCACGGTCCTGAGCCAACCCCACTTGCTGAAGCCATTCCACAAGTTCACAGCCAAGAAAAGAGCCCACCACAGTAGTCTTCCCACACCTGAAAGTAAAGAGAAGCATTCACCCAAATGTCTAACTACCTCTCTTTATGGGCAGCCACAATAAGCATTACAGAGCTCACATGCACCATAACTATGTTGTGAGAATGGTTTATGAAGTGTTGTGGCTTGTGAATGACTGCCAGGGACTTTCTTTAAACATACTCCAGGGAACATTTTCTCATCAACCTCTGACCAGTGCAGCAGTGAGTCAAAGTGCACTGTGTGCTCTCACCTTCTCTTTTTAACAATGTCATGAAAACACTGGTCTTTGTGGTATTTGGTGAATTGGGTGCAGGTCACCCTGATATCTTCAGGTAAATCTGCCTGCTGCTGCTGCTGCTGCTGCTGCTCCTCTTGCCTCTTTCCATACCACAGTCTGTACAACCTAAACATCATTCACAACAACAAAATATAATTTAATGTACTACTATATAGATTATACAATTTACTATATATAGAACTGTAATATATGCACTGTATGCATGGAGGGTACATACAATATATTGTGTGTAAATCAAATGCACTTTAGAGTGTGGAAATAACTTAAATATTCTTACCTTTTCTTAAAGGGTAAAATAATCAAATGCTTGTCCAGCCCAAAAAGAGCAAAAGAGAGAAAACCCTGGGAATGGAAAACACATAATGTCACTGGCTGTGTGACAGGAAATGCTCAGCGTCTTGGCACTAGATTATACTGAACACTTACCTGTCCATAGTTTGCCACAGCACAGAAGAACTGTAGTTCCAAATAAAGTCTACCAGGAATCTGATTAAAGATTAGCCACAAGCAGCTAGACAGGTTCTGTTAGAACAGGAAACGAGATGCACAGCTGTCAGATCCTGTCCACAATATCAGATTGGAGAACCAGATAAGTGAAATTTTCTGCATTAAAACCATTCATTTAGTGCTAGTGAAAGATAACTATGCATATTAAACTGCATTAAATTGTGTCTAATTACAGTTTTACAACATTTTTACATTTAGAGAAACATAAAAACACACACTACAAGATATAAATACATTTACTAAAGCCTTAATACAGTGTGTTTCCTATCTCTTTTTTAATGGGTTATTCCTCTGATACTGACAGGCACTGGAAATAGCACTGCTCAGCCATTTGTATCTGATTTGTGATGCACTAAATATAATAATGCAGACAGAATGGTTGACTTCATGTCACTTAAGAAGTGAAAGGTGGTGGTTTCTCACAGCAAGCAAGCTGACAGTCAGAAGCAGACACAGGAGCACATGACGGGCCACTTGTCTATCTGCAGCCTGCTGGAGCTCCTCCACTTGGGCTAGGAGGCACTCTGAGGACTCACACCTATTCTCACACTCACCTGCAGGGGCAGCAGAACACAGACTGAGTATACACATTTTAGACAGTTGGTACATTCTTTAATAATCAAATGGGCTTCACTTAATTAGCTTTAATGCATTTTAAATGGCCACAAAAGGAAAATGCATTCCAGTTGCTTAAAATTGCAATACTGTACCTGTCAGCGTGGTTGGTGTGTAGTTTGAATTGGTGCTGATGATCATGTCAGGCATGGGCTGGGGTGGTGCACAGTCACATATGAGGCATGCTGATAACAAAGTGACAAAAATGAAAGTGATTCTCCGACTACATTACTACAGCGTCACCTCAGTTCACACTGAAGCATAAGAGTGCATTTATAAGTAAGCCAATAAGGGCGTAATACAGTATATGCAGTTTCTCATTTCACCGGCTGACATAAGAATGTCTTGTGCTAATATGAATGCTTTTATAACAATTAATTTGTGACCAGATTCACATTTCCCCTACATTCTATTTACCTATGTGACCTTACCTATGTGATAAGAGGACAACAATCACTAACAGCTCCTCTTGGTATTCATTTCCTGGCATCTCCTTTTCAAAGTAACACACAACTTTAGCCAAGAAAGCTCACTTACAAGTCATGTGACACATTTACAGTATCATTTGTGGGAGACGTGTTCAGTAATGCTCTGTCCACTTTAAATAAGGAACTCAACTTATGAGGAACTTAACTTATGTTTTCTCCAGATAATGACACCAGACATGTTTTTCAGCTTTTGACTCTTTGTTGTTTACTTGGTGGTTTTATAATTGCACAAGCTGACAAGACGTCAGACAGAAGTATCATTGCCCAATGTGGCAGCTTCGCTGTAGACGACTTGAACTGTAGATAAGGTTAGCCTCGACTTTGGATTATTGACTGTGCTCTTCCTTTCCTTTCCAACCTGGGCCTTGACAACTGACAAGTCATTTTAGTTCCAGTGATCATCATGTGCTGTGATTTGATTCACCAAACTACTATACTTCGCAACTTGGTGTCATCGAAGTGACATCTTCAAGCAAATACTGAGTAAATAAATTAAGAGCTTTTAAGTCTCAGTTACCTAGTTTCCATAAAAGAAAGTACCTCTGTTGAAATCTCCTGATGGGGTGACTGGCTCAGCCAGAGTCTGGTTTTCTGCATCAACTTCAATTATAAGATCCTCTGCAGTGCCAAATGAAGCATTTCTCTCTTGGATTTGGTCATTTTGGGCCCAGCTTCCTCTACTGAGACACACAAGGGAGCCCCCACCCAGCAGTATACTGAAGCCAACTACAACTGTGGTGCAGATTATCTGACAGAAAACACACATACAGTATGCAAACCTTAACAAAAACAATTCTTAAATGGCAGAAAACAGGAACATTATTTCCACTTATGTTGTTACCTGTGATTTGCCGTAAAAGAATGTTGAGTCAATCGTGTCAACCTGCTTTGTCCCAGAAATGAGCAGCACAGCAGTTACTAAAGCTGGAATCCTGTTAATATTAATACAGGATTTACAACCAAGTCATTAACAATGAAACACAGAACAAAACTGACTATTTACACTGAAATGAGGCATCAGTGCAATTCTAAAATCACCCTCTGTATTCCGGATCTTTTGTTTTGGGTGGTACCTATTCATGATGACTATTACACATCTAAGCTAAACCGTTCAACATGTGAATTCCTCTTCAGGGCAGGTATATTGAATATGGCACCGCCTTTCAATAAACCAGACAAACAAGCTTAGTTCATTTCTATATTCATGCTTCTTTAAAGTAACTCACCCCCAGCCTGCTATAACCAACACGGTTGGTGACACTTTCATTTCCTCAGAGCTTTTTATGAGCACAAGAGACAGTGCTATTAAACCTAAAACAACAAAATATGCATTAAAAAAAATCTAACTTCTGTCTTCAGAGCTCACCAAGATAAACTAGTACAGTTTGATGTGTGAATACATGGCATACCTGACCACACATAAGTACTGTAGAGTGAGGAACACAGTAATGTGAAAGTCAGGACCTGGCCAATAAAGTTCTCTTCCTTCACCACGAAGTTCCACATGATCATCCCAATACAAATTAGAAGCTTGAGACCACAATAAAAAAAAAAGCACTTAATGATGTGAAGTTGCACCTACAGTTCAACATTTTGTCAGTTTAGTGCATGGATAGGAAATTTATTTTGCTTACTTGAGCCAAGAAAAGGTTGACAGTAAAGAAGTGTGGCAGCCTCTTGATTTTCTTACTTAAAACCATCACAGCGATCGTCCACACCTGTCAGAGAAAACACAGGTTTCACATTACAGACACTTTTGCACAGATGCAAAATACAACTACTATTTAATATTTCGGGATGGTTATTCCATTCATTGCATTCAAGTTTCAGGTTCCTTAAAATTTAAGCTGAAAGTGAGACTAAATGAGGAAGTAGGTCAGCAAGTCAGTAAGTCAGTGAAGCATTTGCTCACACAACTTCTCTAAATGATGAAGCTGTTTAATGGTCACCTACCACAATGGTGCAAACATTTACCAAGAAGCCACCTTTTTATATTTTCTCTTTAACTGTCTCAAGTGAGGGAACAATAAACAACTGAAACAATTAATAATAAACTATGCCTTGGTAGGAAAGTTCAGTAAGTGCCTTAAATCCTAACTGGCCAAACTGGTTTTAGTTATGAAGTGAAACATGTTATAACCAGTGATTTATCAGAATCACCAGGTGTGTTGAACTCAGGAGGAATTTGGCTCCTATGCAGTGGATCTCAGTGTGTATGTACAATGCTCTTCCATAAGGCAACAAATAAACAAGATGAGACTGAGAGAACAAGAAAAAGAAAAACAATGTGCCCACAAGAAAAATAAATGTACTTCATTTCCATATACCGAGGTAAAACTAAAATTAAAAAATAAAAATCCATGATGAAAGGTCAGTTTGAAAAGATTTGTGAAAAACAAGCCTACATATGTCACAGTGAAGTGTCTAGTTGTGACTCACCAGTGCAACTAAGCTCACGATGCTTATGTTAAAGCTGATATTCTGCATTGAGTTCATCAGGAGCTGAGGATCCATCCAACGCATTGTAAGTAACCAGGCAGAAACATACATTATCGGAGCGGAGAGAAAAGTGCTGATGACCATCCCAGAGGTTACCTGTCAGGAAGCAGAATGAAAAATCATGCACAATGAACTGCAAAGGAGAAAACATAAAAGGTACAATAGAAGAACAGCAGGTAGATGTAAATAACTCACAACTTGTAGCTCGGCGTTATAATAGACAGCATAGATTGCCACACTTGGTGCAGTGGGAAACACCCCATAAAGAAAGGCATAATTGGAGAGGCTTGAGTGGTTCAGTGCACTGGTGTTGCTATTGTCCAACAAATCCACCATGTCCTTACAAATCAGGGGCATTAGCAACCTGAAAGTCAAATCAAAAACCTGGCGTTACGTACCATTATTTGAGGGGTTAGTGTTACTATGCTATGGAATGCAGTGCAACTAAAATACTTGCATTCACTAGCAATTATCATGCTACACACTCCTGAGACCTCTTATCATGTCAGCCATTTGGTAAAAAGCCTGCGGACTGAGACAGGTATGACTCATCCACACCATCAGCACAAAACAACATGCAGGGAGCACTTTACAAAGCTCCAACCTGCTGACTCGCTATAGACTCCTATAACATGTCTCGCTATAAAAATGCAAGGTCATGTGGTAATAAAACCATCTCTTGTATGAAGTGACCATCAGGTAGAGTAAACATGTTAGTGTTTTCCACTCACAGTTTTGCAGTAAGCAGTAATATCAGTGTAACAACTGTGGATCTGGTTAGCCTCCTCAACTGGCCCACCATGGACAGACCCAGGTAGAACAGAGCTGCTCCCCCAAAAGAGTTGGCCAAGCCATCCACAAATTCAGCCATGAAAGCAGGAACTGTCTGGTGCAGGACAAAGTGGGCGATGATGCCGATGACTACCATGAATACAATTGGGTTCTTCAGGACCTGTAAAACTACAAGCCCCGCTATCAGAAGTTTGCTCTGTTGGTGGTTTTCTTGATCTTTCCACTTCTGGATCTCACAGAAGGCAAAACCGATGGGATTTAGAAGCATTAGGGACACAGGTGCAACCAGATAGATGTACTGGAGGTACTCTGGATATGTGCTCTGGTATAGGGCTTCAACTGTGGATAAAGATGAAGACAAATGGCTCAGTAAGTTGAGATGTATAGCAATTGCAGTCAAGAAAGTCAAGAACATAAAAGGTATGAGGCCTCATGAATAAAACTTTGCCTAGATTGCACATTAAAAGGCTGCCTACACACAAAGCTGTACAAACATGGAAGCTAAAAAACATTTTGGTGTACTCTGATAATGGCCCTTAACCCTCATTTTATCAACCCTGATACAAAAAGGTACACAGAAAAGTGATGTATTGAGACATAACTGCGTCATGCACAGCTGTTCATATTTGTCTGTCTTGATAAACCGCACTACAAACACTAACATGGCAGTACAGCAAGTCACAACGAAACAAGTGTTTACAGTAATAATGTCTCTGTCTTTTCTGACTTTCAACATAAAGCAGAACAATGGTTCAAATGTGTGAAGCTTCCTTCACTGAAGTGAAAGCAGACAAAAAATACTGGATTACTAAATGTAAGAAAATTTTGGTTTAGGAGGAAGTTGCTGCTTCTGTAACTTCTGTCTCACTGAAATGACAAACAACTGCTGAAATTAATGTCCACTCCATTTGAAATTTGCACAATTTCCAGTTTTTCAATTGTGCTCAAAAGGGTTTGTTTATTAATCCGACAACAGCCTGACAAGACTTTTAAAAGCCTGTAGAACAACATTGCTCTGACACTTGCTTGAGCCATATTTGCAAACCTCTCCATTTCAACCACTGGTAGAGTGTAAGCACGATCACATGTATGCATATATTTATACTGCAGATCCTTGAGTGTGAGTACAACATAATTAATCCTACATTGCTTTGATGATCGCACTTATGGTTTAGGAAGATTCTCTTTGATGATATCAGAAAGACTGAAAACACATTTCCAATTCAGTGTACTACGGTTGGATGGAAAGACAAATATTAAGACACCATGGCTACAGCTGCTGCAGCAGTGAATGGGAGGTGGATGGTGGGCTTAGAAGCATATACCTACCTATAGGGTATCCCAAAGCAAAGTCATTGCTCTGGGTGGCAAATATTGAGAAGAGTCCAGCCTTACTGTAGCGACTTTCAGGACTGGCCACTATCAGTGTGAGGACGCACACAATGAAAAACACAGACACTTTGGCAATGAGGATGCTCCAAAGAAACGGCCATATGACATTATCAAAGTCCAGCAGTACCATGTTCTTGAAAAGCAGTGCTGGGAGGGCAAACTTGGACACAAAATTTCCCAGTCCTTTGGCCTGGGTGGAGGTGATGATGTTTGCCCTCCCTGCGATGTAGCCACACAGAATTATCCCAAAGCACTGCAAGAGAGCCGGGAAGAGCTTGTCAATGGACATGGTGGAGGAGAGAGCAGACGAGTCCGGGTCTTCCTCTTCCTCTTCATATGAGAAGTTGAAATTGGTGGTCCTGCCCGGTCCCTCCATCGTGCTTTGCCTCTCCCCCCAGTGTCTGTGGCCAAGCCCGGATTGTGTTCACGTTAAAGTCATGGCCGTTAGTATCAAAAGCAGATACTATGGAAGGGAGACAGACAAAGGAGGAGTTACCGTTAAAAGGCAGGACTGGTTCAAAGGTATAACAGATAACTTCATAAGCAGTGATAACTGCGCTACATCAAACAGTACAACTGAAATGACACATTTTACAGAGGTTGTACATTTGTTAAAATATATAAAGCTAAACAACACGCACCGTCGTGTCATCCGAGCGACTCACCTCTCTGACAGCTGTGCCCTCGCGTGCACCGTCTGTCACTCACATTAGAACTAGCTAAGAGTTAGCCGGCTGGCTAACGTATAGCGACGGAAACATGACCCACTGTATCGCCGACCTACAGGACCCACATTTACTGTAGAGTCAGCTGACTGTGGCGAAACTATTCACACAACTCTGAGCCACTGTTAACTGTGTGTGTTACATTTGTATTACTTTAGTTAGTTCCCTCCCAGTAACCTTCACACTCCACGATTTGTCAACACAGTTTCCACACGGGGTAAAGGGGCGGAGCTAGCTGTAACACGGGGTAAAGGGGCGGAGCTAGCTGTAACCCACACAAAGTAGAATGTGTCCCTACTTGTTCTGTTGGTAAGAATCCGTTTGTCTAATGAACTTATTTTCTGTGCCCTTCTTCAGGCAGAGTTACGATTTGGAAAAACAAGAACTATGGGATGACATGTCGCTCTCACTTTTTAAAATCTAGTTGACTGGCAGCAGAATGGTCCATTAAAATAAAAAGATACTATTAGCTTATACAGTAAAAACCCCACGACAGTAATAATTTCATTGCCGTTTTATAAAATCAGTATACAACTGAACAAAACATACATAGTTCATTTCTACAGCATTCTTTAAATATGACTTTACCATTATATAATACACCCCCCCACCGCCGCCATTCAGTTAAAGATATTCATTTCTTTATGCTAACAATGGATTAAATGATTGTGTGATGTGAAAGATATAGTGACAAACCCACAGAAAATAAAATGATAAACAAAAAAAAAAAGTACAGTTTTGATTAGCATCTTCTAAATGTACTGTCACCTCTCTCATCAGCACCCTTGTTGTCTGCTAGATGTGTAAATGGGCAGCTCTTTGGTATGTTGAATTTCATGTTTACAGTTTGTTGCACTGGCCTTGCTTATTTTTTCTTAAATCATATACATTTCTTGATCAGGACAGGTTTCTTTTTTTAGTCTACATTTAATTAGGAAGAACATTTATTTAATACAGTTTCATATGGAAAACAACAATGAGCCCTCAAAGTAAAGTATCATATAGGAAGTGATGTCCATAAAAAGTCTTGATTACTTTATTTCTGTTGACTGAAAATCTATATTTCTATATATACTGTATCTCCCATGCCACCCACATTCTGTGAATAATGGCAGACACTGTATCTGTACAGCCTTGGCTAGATAAGATAAAGGAAGCTGACACACAGTTGTCAGAGCAGCTAGGTTCAATAGGTTTATACTATTCTTCTCCTGCAAATTCAACAAAAGATGAGGATCCAACAAATAAGAGACCAGGCAAAAACATGTTAGAGCTAAAAGTGCAAAGGTTCAGAATCTGCATATGTACAGTATCCATCCATCCACCCATCCATTATCTATAATGCTAAAGAGGGTTGCGGGGTGCTGGAGCCAGACCCAGCTGACACTGGGCAAGAGGCTGGGTCCACCCTGGACAGGTCACCACTCTATCACAGGGCTGATACTTAGAGACAGACAACCATACACACCCACACTCATTCCTACAGGCAATTTAGAGTCTCCAATCAACCTATGATGCATATGTTTGGACTGTGGGAAGAAGCCAGAGTATCTGTATATGTATTTGAATGACAAATAGAGGGCCGGTAGGAAAATGTAAACACAATTTAAATTGTGATAAGTGGCAGTGAACACTAAGAAAAGGAAGGTACAGCAGAAGAGTTTTCACAGCTTCAAAAAGCTGAGTTGTTGTCAAACTCATGTCCTTACAAACCAGGAGCGGGTGTAAAACTATCAAATTTTTATTAAATTGTCTTAACCACAAATTTATTCATCAGGATTCATGATTGTATTATTGCCAATTAAATGTTGACATCTCCTACTAGATGTTAATCATATCTAAAAATGTGCTAATTAACTGGTCAGTTTCAGTCACATATGTCATAAAGATCATAAAGGATTTGGCAAAACACTAATCTACACTGCGCTTCAGCTTGTGACTGTATACAATTCAAACTGAGCATGAAACATGTCATCTAAGAAGTTACCCTGGTAAAACATAAAGCATGGGCCTTTACAGCATGCTCAACTCAATGAGGCGACCTGCGAACACACTTAATGTGCCAATGAGAGACACACCCATGAAGATACACAGCAGAATATGATCCAACACCATGGCCACAAACATCCACTCTTCAGCAGCCTGGGAAGTGAAGAGGAACCATATGTCACACACTAGACTCACTGAAGGGCAATATTAGAGACACTTTCTGTGTGAGAAAGCTTACACTGTTTGATTCCTCGTCTGATTTAATGGTTTCTGCAATGTACTTGACTCCTTCAATGGCACTGCGGACTTCGGGGTTCTTGGTGATGGATGACTGGTAGGGGGCAGCACAGGTCTGGTTGCCAGAGATGTCTGAGATGTCAAAATCAGCACCATAAATGCTTTTTTTCTGCTTTTCTTTGCCAGGGTGCTTCATTGTTGAAAAGAACATGATTTTGGGAATGGTTTCAATAAAGACCTGCCATAAAAAGAAAAGGGATGAGCATTGTGTCAAAGCGTATACAATGTCATAGCTGTTAGATTAAAAACAAACAAAAAATATATATTCTCTCTGGTACCACTAGATGGCAATATAATGCAGAGAAAAAGATTAAGGATTGCCTCCTCACATCTTGCCAAGCTTGATTCATCTTTAGTCATTCAGCTCCACAATAAAAATGATATGTCTGTTTTTTTCCCTTCTTCTTTTGTCCTCACCTTACGGACCCAGTCCGGCATCGTGTGAGTGCTTGGGGAGCGGTGGTGAGTGTTGATGACAATGACAGTGATGATGATGGAGGCAATGACAAAGACCATGGTGAAAAGCATGTATTTTCCAATGAGTGGTACAGCGCTGGAAGTAGAGGGGATCAGCTCCACAATGACCAGCAGGAACACAGTCAGGGACAGCAAGATAGAGATGCTGAGAGTCATCTTCTCACCTGGGAGACACAACAAATGAAATCGTTTGTCGCTAAATCACTGCAATGAAGAGAACACCACACACACGGGTTTTTAAAACAAATATTAGCAGTCAGTCAACATTTAGATTGATGGCTCCAGGCCTGCGGGTCATTACCGTCGTTAGACCTTAGATTTGAAGGATCGTGAGATGAATGTCTGTCCAGGTACATCAGAAGTGCTAAAGTTGGTAACTAGACTTGACTGGATTGCTTGAAGTCTCCTGAAGTTCTTGTTTCTGAGGTGCTTAAAGACTTAAAGAAAGTTTATTTCAGAGGTGAATGTTTTCAAGAATCTCATGTGAGTCCACTCGCCAAGTTCAGCGCTTCTGATTGTGAGGTGCATGGTAAGAAAGAAAAAAAATTGACAAAGCAATCTTATTTTAAGGCTCCTTTAGCAGAACATGTTTTTGTGATACAATTAGTCTCAAAACAGCTACATAAGGTCCATAAAGTTTATGGTGGTGCTCTTTACAAGGTCACAAATTAGCTTTTAAACTGAAAATGCACTGCCCTTCAAACAATGTTGAGCAGCTGCACTAAGCAGTGTGTTGACTCATGATACTGTACCGTCAACATGCAATCTTATTAGATTGCCACAAGAGAGGGCTGTTTCTATGAGGCTGGTTTACATAAGACTCAAGCCCTTCCTCAGCCATGCAACCACTAGTCCAGTCTAGTGTTTACACAGCAACACAATAACTGCACTCTTCACCCACACAAGGGAATCATACTTAAAGATTAAAAGGCAGTTTCTTCCCCTAAAACTATCAATAGAACAAATAGATAGAATGACATTATTTCACACAAGAAAAATGCAAGACGTTGTTTTTGTTGTTCAGCAAGAGGAGTAATTCCAGAGAGAGCTTTTTTTGGCACCATCTTCTTTTGCACACTATCCTGTCAGCAGTCATATCACAAGTAGGGATCAAGTGATGTATTATACATTAAAGCAAAGGCCTGCTTTCAGACATGACAGCACAGAGGGACCCTGGGTAATGAGGCAGACTTACACACTAGGAACACAGCCAGATGTGCACACAAGCGGCACAGTTCCTTTAGCAGCTGATGTTGGAATACCTCTGACTGACAGGCAGCATTAAAGGCCAGGATTTGTCCAACACAATGTCAGCTCACATCATGAAAACAGGGACAATAAAGTAAAATGTAACAATGATACAATTGATTTAAAAAAGAACTCTTACTGAAGCCAAGACTACGTTCAGCGATGTTTTGCATGTCCCTTCTAATACATGTATGCTGCCGTGTTCATGTATATTTCAGGTGACAGTTTTACTTCTTTGAATATTTTAGTTGC